AACGCGGCCGGAGAGGCGTCGGTCTCCACCCCGCTGGTCGTGAAGGGTCAGTCGAATGCACGATGACTCTGACCCTAGATCCCTCCTGTCTGTTCCGCCAGCCCATCTTACCATGCCTCCACCAGGAGCTGTTGACAACACATCGGTCCAGTTATACACGTTAGAGGTCGCATTCACGACAGGCAGAAGAGCATTCTTCGACGGGTATGGAAGCATCCACGCTTTAGATGGATGTGTTCGGCAGCTGTCGTCTCCATTGCAGGCAGGACTTCCGTGAGCTTATCTTAGATGGGGCGGGCAAGCGCCACCTTAGTGCTGGTGGACTGACTGTGTTTGACTTCTTCGTTGGTTGACGGTTGCAGTGCCGCCAGAGCTGGCTGTCTTCGGCTCCATGGAGGCTCTTAACGCCGGCGACGACGTCTCCCTCACCTGTAACGTATTCAAGGGCGACACGCCGCTGTCCATCGCCTGGACCTTCCACGGCCAGGACCTGCCTATGGACCGCGAGTTTACCACTCTGACGGCTGGAGACCGCACCAGCATTCTACTGATCAAGGGCGTGTCTCACGGCCACTCGGGCACCTACACGTGTCTGGCGAAGAACGCGGCCGGGGAAGCTTCGATTGCCACCCCGCTAGTTGTCAAGGGTCAGTCGAATGTTAATCGGTGCTAATTCTGTCCTTCATCTCCTTGTCCGTAGTCCTTACCCTAGTCTCTTCAACTACGTCACTGTATCTTGGCCAGAACGTCACAGGACAGCACTACTGCACGTCGTCAGAGGCCTCGGTTCAACGGTCTTTGCGCCGTACCTGGCTTAGGCGAGAGCACAGTGTCGGCTGGTTTGGCATTCCACACTCGTGTCGGCGGCACCGAACGGGCCATTCTGTTGACTCCAGTTGAAAGCAAGCCAGTACATGGCTCCAACCTTCCTTGTACATCCTGTAGATGCCGGCTATACCTTTTCATCGAGCACTGCAGTGATGGTACTGATATTAAGCAGCGTCGACGCCGGCCTCCGGTTGCAGTGCCGCCAGAGTTGGCTGTCTTCGGCTCTATGGAGGCTCTAAACGCCGGCGACGACGTCTCCCTCACCTGTAACGTCTTCAAGGGAGACACGCCGCTGTCCATCGCCTGGACCTTCCACGGCCAGGACCTGCCCATGGACCGCGAGTTTACCACACAGACTGTGGGCAAACGCACCAGCATTCTCGTCATCCAGGGCGTTTCTCACGGACACTCGGGCACGTACACGTGTCTGGCCAAGAACGCGGCCGGAGAGGCGTCGGTCTCCACCCCGCTGGTTGTCAAGGGTCAGTCGAATGCACCAACAACGGCACATACTCTCCTTCGAATGGTCCGCGCGCCTTTCCTACCTTGCCTTCAACAGCACGGTCCGCGGTGCTTATCCGCACGCGCCGTACGCTCCAATTGCGTCAGCCCCGCCGCGGACAGACACGCACATTGGGCCGGGCGGTGAAGTCCGCCCTGCCGCATGAGCGCTCCATAGGCTTCGGTCCGGTGCAAACTAGCCCAGATGGCGACGGGCTGAGAGGCTGACAACTTCGAGGACGACTGTCTAGCTGTGATTCCTGAACGGCACTGCTAGCCTCACAGAAGGTTAGCTTTTGCCGTAGTGCTTTTTATTTTTGATAACTTTCTCTTCGATTGTCGTTCGTAGTGCCGCCGGAGCTGGCTGTGTATGGGTCGGAGGAGGCCCTTAACGCCGGCGACGACGTCTCCCTCGCCTGTAACGTCTTCAAGGGCGACACGCCGCTGTCCATCGCTTGGACCTTCCACGGCCAGGACCTGCCCATGGACCGGGGCTTTGTGACACAAACCTTTGGTGATCGAGCCAAAATGCTGCTGATCAAGGGCGTTTCTCATGGACACTCGGGCACGTACACGTGTCTGGCCAAGAACGCGGCCGGAGAGGCGTCGATCTCCACCCCTCTGGTCGTCAAGGGTCAGTCAAATGCACGAAGACACTGTCCCTCGTTCCGTTCTGCCCGCTCCGTCAGCCCTTGTCACCACGCCCTGCCTAGAAGCTCCTGACAGCGGGACCCTGCTGCGATGTGGACCACATCGACGCCCCCCCCCCCCCCCCTCCGGCGAACAGATCACAATCCGGCTAGGTTTGGATTGTGTGCACTGGTTATAGGGTGGCGCCTGGCGGCTTTCCTATAAACAGTGCGTTCACGCGTTTTCCGCTTACGTCGATGGGTGTAGGAGCATTAGCTCTGTACTGGTGGACGGACTGTGTCTGACTTCTTCGTTGGTTGTCGGTTGCAGTGCCACCAGAGTTAGTTGTCTTCGGCTCCTTGGAGGCTCTTAACGCCGGCGACGACGTCTCCCTCACCTGTAACGTCTTCAAGGGAGACACGCCGCTGTCCATCGCCTGGACCTTCCATGGCCAGGACCTGCCCATGGACCGCGGCTTTATCACACAGAATGTGGGAGATCGTACCAGCTTTCTATTGATCAAGAGTGTTTCTCACGGACACTCGGGCACGTACACGTGTCTGGCCAAGAACGCGGCCGGAGAGGCGTCGACCTCCACCCCGCTGGTTGTCAAGGGTCAGTCCGCGCCTCACCTCTCCTCCCCTGGCTCCTTTTGTCCTCGGATCTGAATTCCTTGAAAAAACAAGCGTCCTCCTCGAACGGAGTGACTGGCGTGCTTCCCTCTATCCGTTGCCAGCGTCTCTGTCTGAGAGAAAGACACAGGATGGGTTCTTAGCGTCGTCGTTCTGGCGTCGCCGAGCGTCCCAGCCGTGGCCGCTTGGCAGCAGCAGTTGCAGGAGTCTGCGATCGTCTCACCGGCTGGCACGAGTGGTCTTGCGGTCCACCCGTAACAGCGTTTGGTATTTGGTCAAGGAGTTCTTGGCTGTTTGTATTATCTGGGGAAGGACATTAACATCTGCCGGCCGTACTTCGTCGTCGTCGTCGTCGCTGATCTTCGCGTCGCAGCATCGTCTAGTATTGCTCCAGCGGCGTCGGTGATGCGGCTGTCGCCCTGTGTGTTCGTTGTCCCGTGTTCCGCGTGCCGCCGGTGACCGCTCCTCACTCTCTGACCCCTCCTCTCTCCGCGCCGCCAGTGCCACCCCAGGTGGCGCTGCTCGGCGTCGACTCGGTGCTGAACACGGGCGACGACGTCACGCTGACGTGCACGGCGTTCCGTGGCGACCTGCCGGTCCGGCTCTCCTGGACGGTGGACGGCCGGCCGGTGCCGACGGCTGACGGTCTGACCACGCTGGCCGCCGGCGCGCGCACCAGCCTGCTGCTGGTGTCCGCCGTCTCGCACGCCCACTCGGGCACGTACGCGTGCCGCGCGACCAACGCGGCGGGTAGCGGCGCCGCCTCCACCGAGCTCCTTGTCAGGGGTCAGTGGCGCCGCGCGCGCGCGTGATCCCGCCGGGCCGCCCGTCGTCACGCCCGCCCAGCGGTCCCGGTCTGTCCCGCCGCCGCTCCGTCCCGTCTCCAGCGGCGTCATGCAGCAGCGTCGGCGAGCACGGCTGACGCTATGTCCAGGCAGTTGTCACCGGGGTTGGAAGAGCTGGGGAGCGGGAGGGCCTGGCCTGGATCGGTTGTAGCAGTCTGGCTACTGACCGCCCATCTGGCCTGTTGCGCATTGCTGTTCTGCCTACTATTCTTACTAGTTTTTTCTCACACCATCTGTAAGAGAGCCATGCCCAAGGGACGAGCACTGAGTGCCTCGTCTGATTTTTTCGGGGTCGAGGATTGGTTCTCAGACGTCCCTTACCTGCATCACATTTTTGAAACCCTTTGTTTACGGAAGCCCCACTGCGCTCACCGTGTTTGTATTTGATGGCGTTGTACCTGGTGAGTCTCCGGCCGCCAGGTAAAGCCTGGCCACGCCCAAGACTACCACCGTTGTTCCAGGTGCCGTGTGGTAGCACACGCTATAGCTATAGGTACACCGTTCTCATCTACAACCAGATTCACTGTGTTGGGAAGGTGGTATGTGTCAGAGGCTGCAGCTTGGGACCCACAGTCAAGCTGTAAGCACGTTGCTTCATCAGCGGACTTATCGGCGCGGTGCAGCACGCCGGGCTGATGTTGACGGCGGCGGTCTGATGCCCCGGACGTCAGGCTACGTCAGGCTGTGGCTCTGGAGGCTGGCTTCTCTGCAGCGCTCGGTGTTAGCCCCTCTGGCCTGGGGGCACCCAGGCCGAACGGTGTGCCGCTGTGTCCGCCGGGACAGCGGAGGCTAGGAGCTAAACGGCTTCGCGAGGTCAGGCATGCGTTGTGCCGGACTTGGGTCAGCTGGTTTGGTTAGGTCGTGTCGGGTCGGCTGCTGCCGTTTCCGATCTGTGATTGGTTAGCGTCCGCCTGTCATCGGGTTAGGTTTTTCGGCACGTTCAGTCAAAGGAGGCAAACCCATCCTCATCCTCATCTCTTACCCCTGCCGCCAACCCTCTCTCTCTCCCATAACATGCGGTGTATTAACAGCGCATGCTGCATGCTACTACCGACTGTTTATCCCACTTGTAATATATCAATTGCATTCACTAGAAATCGAGATATCATTGCATCCGTGCAATTTGCATTGCTTGCAGTGGGACAAACACGTTTACCGTCCACGTTTCCATCTGTGCTCATTCAGTCAGCTCGTCCAAAGTATCCAGAGCGTTGTTTGACTGTATGTTCAATAACAATTCGAGCACAGACTGACCTGGACGGTACTGCTGTCGTGTTACAGTTGTTTTACTTGAATAACCGTGGCCCAAGCTGCCACGCTATTATTGTAATGTCTTTAACGATGAGTTTTTGCATTTCCACAAAGCTGAACAGTTCTTCTTGTAATTGTACTGAATTTGCTATCAAACATCGCTAGCTACAAACTACTGCTCACATGACGAACGATGAGTTGCAGTAGCGTCTGTACTGTTTTGGAGTGGCTATACCGATGCCCGTGTGCGCGTGCGTATGTGTTTGTAGCCGGCTGGCGTGACTTGCCCTGACCTGAGCCGCGCGGTCGCCAGTGCCCCCGCGCTGGATCATCGAGCCCACCGAGAAGGAGTTCGCTCTGGGCACCACGGCCGAGATCCAGTGCAAGGCGGACGGCTTCCCCAAGCCGCAGATGGTCTGGAAAAAGGCGGCCGGTGAGTGGGTGGTAGATGTGGCCCGCACCCCATACCCTACCGGCTGGCCGTCGGCGCTGGAGGACGGCTGGTCCAAGAGCGTCGTTACACGTACTGTCTGGCCGCTCGTTATTGCGTGTTCTCACGAAACGCGGATGATGTAGTCACCTATGTCAGCGTTAAGAGCTCCGCCGAAATGTTGGCTTTGGGTACGTGTAGGCTGCTGGTAAGCAGTTGAACATCCAGCGTCCCACAGCCCGTCGCACCGACGGCGATGTGCCGGGTTCATAGTGTTGTGGCCGTCCGACGGTGCCGTCGCGGCCAGTTGCCGGGTGGCGGGCTGGACCGAGAAGCCGCCGGTGCGCCGGACCGCTCGGCGGCGGCGTCGGCGTGCGCGTGACCCCGGCCGGTGTCTGCAGGCTCGCGACCGGAGGACTACCGCGACCTCGGCCAGTCGGACAGCAACATCCAGGTGCGCGACGACGGCACGCTGGTGATCAGCAGCATCCAGAAGCGCGACGAGGGCTACTACCTGTGCGAGGCCGACAACCAGATTGGGCCCACCCTCTCGGCCGTCATCTATGTCAACGTTCAGGGTGAGCGAGACGCGCCCGACGCCGGCCGGCCGCCGGTACACGCGAAGGACGCGCCGCTGGATGGCGGCCGCCACCGCCTGGGACCTTCCACGCGATCGCCGGGCGGGTGCCCTCTTGCGTTAGTCGGGCGTGGGGAGGTGTCTAGCTGCGATCGTGAACTGCCGCGGCTGTTCCGGGGAGCTGCACTGCCACGGCAGGTTGCCGTCTGCGGCCGCTGTATTGCACCGCAGTGTGACTGGGAGCCGGTTGCCCCACGCGTGGGGCGCGTGAGCTGCAGTACGAGGTCGCCCCCTGTTTCCGCAGCGCCGCCGCACTTCGAGATCAAGCTGCGCAACCAGACGGCGCGTCTGGGCGACTCGGCCGTGCTGGTGTGCGAGGCCAAGGGCGAGCGGCCGATCAGCATCACCTGGAGCCGGGACGGCGTGCCGCTGAGCGCGCGCGAGCCGTCGCCGCGCTACACCATCCGGCAGCAGGCCACCGACGGCGGCGCCGGCTCCGACCTCAGCCTGCAGGAGACCAGCCGCCGCGACTCGGCCACCTACACCTGCCGCGCCTCCAACGCCTTCGGCACCGACAACACCACCATCAACCTGATCGTGCAGGGTGAGTGGCGGCGTGGCCGTAGTCGGCACGCCTCGTCCGCTCGGTCGTGCGGTGCGGCAGTGCTACGCCGCCACGGGGCTGTACTGTGACAGGCGGCTGGAACATTCGCGCGCTCATCCTTGTCCGGTGTTTGCCATGTACTCAATGTTGCCATGCGCAGAGATCGCGGTGTTGACACTCGGGTGTGACTTGCAGAGAAGCCGGAGGTGCCGTTCTCCATCAAGGTGCAGAACAAGTCGGGCCGCACGGTGGAGCTCTCTTGGACGGCCCCGTACGACGGCAACTCTGAGATCTCCCGCTACATCATCGAATACAAGCTGGCCAAAAGTACGGGGCGAGACCTCAGACGCCGACGGACACCGTGGCCGCTTTTAGCGGTGTGAAAATGGCTGGGAATACGCTTACTTCAGTATGTTTCAGAGCCGTGCAGCTCATTCATTCGGACGCATTCAAAGCGTTGTGAAACAGGCTGTGTGGTTTTTACTGTCAGCTGTCTAGTGCGCGTAGTGACGCGTGCTGCTGCCGTGTGACTCGGCCGCTGGCAGCCGCTGGTGCTGTGACAGTCGCCTCGTCCGCAGACGAGTGGGACACCCGCAGCATGGAGCGCGTGCTGATCCCGGGCAAGATGCCGGTGGTGTCCGTGCAGGACCTGCGGCCGGCCACTACCTATCAGATGCGCATCATCGCTGAAAACGAGGTGAGGTCGGGGCCCGGGACAGACGCGGCGGCGGCGGCGGCGGCGCCAGGCAGCGCCCTCCGCCGGACGGTCGCGGAAGTGTGCAGTTTGGTGGAGTTAGCGGAGGCGCCGGCGGTCGAGGAGTCTGGCCCGGTCTGCTCAGTTTTCCAGAAGCGCGGTGATTGTTTGCCGTGTGTGGCCATGCGAAAACTGGATGGTTATGTAGACAAACCCGTTTTGTTGTTGGTGTAGATGTGGGGTTCAGCTTCCTGTAGTTGTGATTCAGTTTTTCATCGAATGGTTCATCCGCTCAAAAAATTTGCGCGATATATCTGGTGCAACATTGCTGCTGGCGTTTTCTTTTCAGTCAATTTTTGAACAAGCATAACGGAGCGTCAAAACCTTCATCTAGATGCTCCTCTCGCTCCCCCCCCCCCCCCCCCCCCTCCCTCTCCACGACCACCAACGCACGGCGCAAACTGACACTTGATCCATCTTTGGTTGGCACTAGCCCTTTGTGGAATGGCTCGATGCTTGCTGGAGCCGCCGTGTGGACCGCAGCGCAGTCGCAGCCGCGGCCGGGGCTGGCCAGCGGCGAGACGGCTGGTGCCATGCGTGCTGACTTGTGTGCCGGCGGCGGCGGCAGGTGGGCACGTCCGAGCCCTCCGAGCTGGTGACCATCATGACGTCAGAGGAGGCCCCGGCCGGCCCGCCCACGGACGTGGTGGTGGCCCCGCTCGACCGCGGTCTGCTGGTCACCTGGAAACAGCCCGAACAGCACCTGCTGAACGGCGAGGTCACGGTCAGTGTCAGCGCGGTGACGGGCGGGGTCAGGACCAAAGTCAGGGTGACGGCAGAGGTCAGGGTCGACGTCGGGTTCGGTCAGAGATGGCGGTCGAGGTCAGGGCCGGCCATGGGTGACGGCCGAGTCGGGCTCAGTGTCAGTGGGGTGACCGACGAGGTCACTGGCGATCTTGGGTGGCGGCCTAGGTAAGGGCCGTTCAGGGGTGACGAGAAGACACTTAGGAACGTTCCAGGAGTGCAGGTCTACTCATGGCGGCTGACTCGGGTGTGCTCTGGAGGGGATGCTGAGTTCGGTCGTCTCCGGGACCGGTGAGGCGGCGATGAACGGGCCCTGTCCGCCGGCCAGCCCGCCCGAGGCTGGCGAGGTCAGCCTCTATGACTCACCCCGCCCGCCTCCTCCTCCTCAGGGCTACTACGTGGGTCACCGGCTGGCCGACAGCGATGACAGCTTGTCCTTCCAGACGTTCGAGTTCACCAGCGAGGCCAGCCGCAAACACGAAATCCGCATCACTAAACTCGAGTACGTGTCGTCGCGTGGTGCATTCCTCCTCCTCCCCCCCCCCCTTCACGGTTCCACCCCCTGCCGTGTGATGAGGCACCACACTGCTGCCTGGCTGCCTGTGTATGCACACGCGTCCCCCCTCCGCCTCCCTCCTTCTCGCGCATCCTTTCGCTCGTGGTGAGCCACGCGCTGCTTCGTTCTCACACACCAGCTGCGCAGCTGGCCGGCACCAGTCGCCCTCTCGAGCATCCCAGTCTTGACAAGGCTGGCTACAGTTTATCGTGGATCAGACCACCGGCCGCTCGGTGTGACTGGCCGCCCCACCCTGTGACGCGACGCCGTACGCCGTTGAAGCTGGTCTTCTCCACCGCTGGCCGACGCTAACCTCGCTCCCGCCTGCGCAGGGAGTTCCGCGAGTACGCGGTGGTGGTGCAGGCGTTCAACGGCCAGGGCTCGGGACCCCAGTCGGGCGAGGTGCGCCAGTTCACGGCCGAAGGCGCGCCCTCGGAGCCGCCTCAGGCCATCACCTGCCGCACGCTCACCTCCGACTCGATCCGCGCCAGCTGGACGCCGCCGCCGGCCGACTCCACCAACGGCATCGTGGCGGGCTACAAGGTCATGTACGGCCCCAGCAGCACCTGGTACGGTGAGTGCTGGCCGGTGGCTCGCAGCGGCCCCGCCCAGGCAGCGGGGCGCGCGGCGTCCACAGGTCTCTTCGTGTCGCAGGTACCTCAGTGGGATGGTACCTCAGCGTCAGCAGGTACCTCAGTGTCAGTGGGATGCCTGGGCAGCAGTGTTCACGGCTCGTCGTGTTGCGTCGCGCCGCCGAACAAGCGACGTACGCGCTGCGCTGTGCGGTCTGGGATCGGACGGCAATGGTCGGGGGTCCCCGGTGTGTGCCCGCCCCAGCGAGCGCGGCTGGCCGGGCGCGGCGTGACGGCACCGTCGGCTCCTTCGGCAGACGACAGCACGATTGACATGGCCAAGTCGACGTCGACCGAGGCGCTGCTCACCGGTCTGCGCAAGTTCACCGAGTACAACATCACCGTGCTGGCGTACACGGGCGGCGGCGACGGGCCCCGTAGCCGCTCCGCCATCTGCCGCACCGAGGAAGACGGTAGGCGCCGCCCGGCCCCCGCGCGGCACGCGCCGCTCGGCCGGTCACACGCGCACGTGGCGGCGAGGCGGAGGGGAGGACGCGGCCCCTCGCCGAGCCGGATACGAGGCGCGAGTTTGCTGGAACCTGACCCGGAGTGGGAAAGGTTTAGCTTTTATTGCACACACGTGTCTGTTGTAGGTGCGGTGGTGTCTACAGTTGTGGTTTATGGCGTGACCTGTTGTGTGCTGCCGTGTCAGAGTATGCCGTGCTCTAGCGCCCAGTTCCTAGTATGATTGTGTGTTGGGGCAGCGCTTGGGAGTCGTATATGGTTCATGACCTCCCCATGGTGCTGCGGTGGCTCAGTGTCCCGCGTGTGACCTCCCCGGGGTGCCGCGGCGGCTCAGTGTCCCGCGTGTGACCTCCCCGGGGTGCCACGGTGGCTCAGTGTCCCGCCTGTGACCTCCCCGGGGTGCCGCGGCGACTCAGCGTCCCGCGTGTGACCTCCCCGGGGTGCCGCGGCGACTCAGTGTCCCGCGTGTGACCTCCCCGGGGTGCCGCGGCGACTCAGTGTCTCGCTTGTGACCTCCCCATGGTGCCGCGGCGACTCAGTGTCTCGCTTGTGACCTCCCCGTGGTGCCACAGTGCCCGAGCCGCCGGCGGACATCAAGGCGCTGCCCATGTCGCCCGACAGCATTCTCGTCAGCTGGCGCGAGCCGGCCCAGCCCAACGGCGTCATCAAGCGCTACACTGTCTACTTCAAGGAGGAGGGCAGCCGAGAGGTGCGACACTGGCGCAGGGCGCCGGCCGCGCAGGCCGGAGGCGGCACCTGCTGGCCCGCTGGCCCGTGGCCTGTGCCCGCCGCTGCTGCTGTGAAGGCCTCTGGGTGGATGTGCGAGGGCTGGTCCTTGCGATGTGGTCATTGGACCCGTCTGCTTGGAACCTTGTGGAAGCTTGTTTAACGCAGTGGCCAGAGGTTTTCAGGCGCATGTGTGGTCGTCCCGGGAGACCCGTCGCCGGGGCGGGAGCACCGCCTCCCTCCCACCGGTGCAGGGGAGACGGTCCGGCGGAGCGGCTCCTCGTCTTGGGGTCCTGACGCTGTCTTCTCGTCCGCAGCCCCAGATGCACCGCGTGACGCCCTTCCAGCTGTCCTACCGCGCCAGCGGCCTCAAGAAGACGCAGAAGTACCAGTTCTGGGTGAAGGCAGAGACGAGCATGGGCGAGGGCGACGCGTCCCAGATGGTCACCGTCACGCCGCGTAACCAGGGTGGGTGGCAGCCGCGCTGCTCACGCAGGCCGGTGCCCGCGGCCTGACATACCGCGGGACTGGCCCGCTGCGCCGACCTCGCGGCTCCGGCGACCGTACCGACGCCGGCCAGCGGCTCGGCCGTCGTGTTGGGGCGGACGTGGCGTTCGAGCCACACGCTCAGACCGCCGTCGTCCGGCGGACAGCCCGGACGCGTTCTGTGCCGCCGCGCGCCGACGGAGGTCCTGTCACTGCGGCCGCTGTCACGTTCAGCGCCTCCAGCGGTCCCCTGCGGACGGACACCGTCCGGGGGCTGGAGGCCGGCGACCCTGCGCTGACTTAGGCGGTGTGCTTGCAGTTCCGGCGAGGATCGCGTCCTTCGACGACGAGCACGTGGTGAACTTCCAGCATGACGCCAAGCTGCCGTGCCAGGCGGTGGGCTTCCCGCAGCCCACCATCACCTGGCAGGTGGACGGCAAGCCGTTCAAGTCCAACGAGCGCATGCGCATCCTGCCAGAGGTACGTGGTCGGAACGGCACCCGGTCCGAGGTACGCGATCGCCGCCGCAGACTGCCCGAGGTATGTGGCCTCCGCCGGCGACGCGTCTTGCAGCGGTGACGACGTCCGCTCGCATCGGCGGGTCGCCTGTCCAGGTCCGCGGACGCCCTCGGACGTGAACATGAGCGCGCGGACCGCGCCTGCTGGCCGGCACGGGGTGGCGTTGACAGCACGGGTTCGGTGGACGTGAGCTGCGCGGATGCGTGGCGAGCCGTCTCGGTGCTGATTGGCGTCCCCGTCTGTGGCGGCAGGGCTCCCTGCAGATCCGCAGTGTGGAGCGCAGCGACCGCGGCGAGTACTCGTGCATCGCCAAGAACCAGTTCGGCCAGGACACCGTCTCCCACCGGCTCATCGTGCAGGGTGAGTGGGGGCTCGGACGCGCGCGACCCGGGCAGGGGGACGGCGCCGCGTCGGCCGGTGTGACGCTGCGCGGGGTGTTCTGCAGGGTCCTGGTTTTAGCCCTCGATCCGGTGAATCGAGGCTAGCTGGTCGACAGCAACTGGTGGATGGCGGGCGGTGAGGATGGATTGGTGATTTGATACGCAATTCATGAAGTGAAGGGTGGGTTGAACAAGAAGCGTTGGACTGGTTGTTTCAAGGGTGGCATACAACAGAAGGAGCAGAAGACAGGGTACCTGGTGTCCCCATTGCCTCTGGGGCTGCGCAGCGTCGTGTGGCGTCGACACGCGCTCCCCACCGTCTCCGCCGTCTGTCGTGTCGTGCTGGCGTGTGGCGGTGCTGAGTGTGTGCTGGTTGTGAGCGCCGGCGAGCTCGCTGTGGGCGCCGGCGATGGCCGTGACTGGGCGCGCCCTGGCCCGCAGCGCCGCCCCACCCGCCCGAGGTGCTGCTCATCGGCTCCTCCAACAACTCGATCGAGGTGCGCCTCAAGCCGCGTGAGCACGTGTCGGTGCCGTTGTACGGCTTCACGTTGCACTACAAGGCGGCGTTCGACGACTGGAAGACTGTCCAAGTGGCCAAGAAGGTGAGCGGCCGCTGGGCGGGCTGACGGGGCTGGCGGGGAGGGGAGGGGGGGGGAGGGTACCGATCCAGCTGCAACGATTGCTGCACCCGTGACGTTCATCTGGCTGTTTGGCTACGAAACTTGAGTTTGATGCGATCATGACGTTGCCGTGTCGAAGGTATTCAGAGTTGATAACTTTGGTATACGCGCGGCCGTCCCACCAGCCGTCATCGGCTATTGTCCACTGCTCGGAGGGCGGACCATATGTTTTCCCGGATAGCGTTATGGCGAGCAGGCTTGAGAAGCGTGACGTCACGGGTGTCGCGTCCGCCGGGCAGGCATGAGCTGCATGATACTGTCCATGTCGCTGTGGCTTGTTCATCTGTGCCGCCTGCGTCTTCAGGCCCGCGCCTTCACTCTGGAGAACCTGTGGTGCGGAACAAAGCACCAGATCTACGCCACCGCGTTCAACGGGTGAGTACGCTGGCGCGAGAGCCACGCCCTGACATCACGCGTCTGTGTGTTCGACCCGCCTCCGTGGGTGCCCGAGCGCCGAGTTCAGACCATGCTCCGCTCGTTCTGCCGTCGCCCTGCGCTGCACTGCCCTGACAGCCGTCTCCTGATGACGCTGCGCTGCGCTGGCCTGACGTGTTCCTGCGGCGTGCGCAGGGTCGGCCCCGGCGAGCAGTCTGCCATCCTGACCACCCGCACCAAGGGCCAGGCGCCCACGCTGCCGGCCGCCGACCGGTTCATGCGCGTGCTGGCGCGCAGTGTCGAGCTGCACCTTAAGACCTGGGAGAACGGCGGCTGCCCCATCCTCTACTTCGTGGTGGAGCACAAGAAGCGGTGAGTGGCGCGCGCCGCCGGACATGCCGGCCCGGCAGGCCGCGGAGGCCCCACGGTCTTGACAAGCGAACCCTCAGCCTGTGTGTGCGACTGTCCAGAGACAGGGAGGCAGGAGGGTGTGGGTGACTGGCGGTGACAGGGCTGCTCGTGCACTTCATGGCGCTCATCACGGTTATATTCTTTCTTGGGGGTCCAAATTATTTCCGGTTAAAATGGTTGTTAGGCAAAGTTATCTCTGACAGCATGTCGAAATGTTCGGCCAGCCTGTGAAAGGTTTCCTAGTGGATGCTGCTCTCCACTAATATTTGAGATTGTCTCGTGCCTAAACGCCGGTTGCAGTTTTGTTGAGGACGTTACGCGGTCGAAAAAACACGCCGGCTTTATTTCAAACGTCTGTGGTTCCTTGATATGTTTCCCCGAGAGAGCGCGTGCCGGTGCAGACAACAGCGCCGTCGAGACTCGGCTGCACCGGCCGAGTCCGTGTGTCGGACGCCCTCTATCTCGCTGCTGCCGTCTGCCCGCGCAGCTTCGAGACGGAGTGGACGACCGTGTCCAACACGCTGAAGCCCCAGGGCAGCCTCACGGTGCTGGACCTGGAGCCGGCCACGTGGTACGACCTGCGCGTGACAGCGCACAACAACGCCGGCTCCACGCCCGCCGAATACCTGTTCGCCACGCTCGACGAGGAGGGAGGTGGGTGACGCGGCCACCTCCCGCCGTCGCGCGCGCAGTGTGACTCGTCCCGCATCGGTTTTGAACGCACGATGTGTGCTTTTGTTTGCGCAGCCTCGTGATATTGGCACATGTCGTTGTGAAGCTTGCCTGCCTTTTCGTAGATAGGGAACAATAGCAGAAGCTTCTGCTATTGTTTCGATAAGGGCATATTGCCGAAACATCGACCCTTCTATATTTTCATTCTCCTGGTTTTTCTCCGAGGAGTAAGGCTATTACTACCGTCTTAACCATGCGAATAATGTTCCTCGCAAGCACTGAACAGTTAACTGCCCGCCTTTCCGTTGTTTTGTCTGTGTCGTCGCTTTACTGATCGTGTGATGCCCACGCTTTATACTTGTGTCCACCGGCCGCCTACTGCCAGCTGAAGTAGTTGCCTGTGCACGTGATAATGTTTCCGCAGCACCCGAGCACAGCGATGGCGGCCCTGCATGCCCTGAAAGACGCGGGGGACTTGCCGTTCGCCACCAGGAGGCCGATTGCTGATCCGTGTCGCGCGCATTGTCTCCCTGGTGTGTGTGGCACCCCCAGCTGACGTGGAGGGGAGGGTTTCCCGTCTGGTGGAGCATATGTGCCGACGGTGGCAGCACATAACCATGTGACTCGCGGCTATCGAGAGCTGTCCGGTAGGCGAGAAGTGCAGTGCGGTGCCGTATCGGTGCAGACATCGCGTCGGTCGGGTGGCCGGCGTCTGTACGTCCTCGGCGGGACCGGAACCGCTGCGTCCCGCCGGCAGCCGGGGAGGCGGCCGAGGAACGTGCACCTCTGGCTGTCGCTCCGATGCGTCTGTGGCCCTCACCGCAGCGACGCCTCACTCGCCGGTCGCTGTGGGGTGCGCAAGCACCGCAGTGTGTGGCCTCGCACCGTTACTTCCTCGTCATATTCTGGCGTCCCACATGCGTCGGGCGCCTGGCAGCTGTGGGCGGCTGGATGGCGTGGCGGCGTACCTTCGCAAGTGGTCCGGTGCGTGTGTACGTGTCAGAGCCGAGCCGAGCCGGCCGTCCCCGCTCCACAGCAGCCGCGCCGGGCCGCGCCGCAGCGGCGGCCGCTGACGCTGCGCACGCCCGCGTCCGCAGGCACCGTGGGGCCGCCGCGGCGCGCCGACGACGACACCGTGCACACCGGCGCCGTGCCCTTCTTCGCCAACCCGAACGTGGCGGTGCCGATCGCGGTGGCGGCCGGCGTGGTGGTGCTGGGAGCGGTGGCCGTGGTCTGCCTGCGGCACCGCTCGGCGCCCAGCCGCGGCAAGGGTGAGTGACCGGCGGCGTGTGACCGTGTGCCGCGCAGGGACCGTCGGGCCGCCGCTGGTGCGCGCCGCCGACGCCGACTGGTGGGACCGGATGCCCGGCTGGATGCCCGACCTCAACATACTCGTGCCGGCCGCCTGCGGCCTGGTGGTGCTGCTCGTCGGACTCTGCGTGCTTTGCGTCTACCTGAGCTCGCGGCAGCGCGGCGGTGCGCAGCGCTTCAAAGGTAGCCGGCGGCCCGGGCGGCGCCGGCGCCGCTGGACGGCCGGGCGCCGCCCGCGCTCTCGGCTGGACGGGCGCCGGTGCCAGCCTGCGTGTGTCTGCGGCTGGCGGCCGCTGCTGACCCCGTGCCGGTGACGTATGGCGGGCGGGCGGATCGTGGTCGGGATGAGTTGCAATGGAGTGGGGATGGCTGGGTCGGGATCAGTTGCAATGGAGTGGGGATGGCCGGGTCGTTGTCACCAGACTTGCTCTGCTGGTAGAGTTGTGCCGTGTGTGTGTGTGTGTGTGTGTGTGTGTGTGTGTGTGTGTGTGTGTGTGTGTGTGTGTGTGTGTGTGTGTGTGTGTGTGTGTGTGTGTGTGCGTGTGCGTGTGCGTGTGCGTGTGCGTGTGCGTGTGTGTGTGTGTGTGCCTGCGTGCGTGCGTGCGTGCGTGCGTGCCTGTGTGGTGCGTGTGTTGGGCCACCGAGTTACGAGGCGCCGCCGCTGACAGCTGGCGCCGGCGGCTGTCCACAGACGACACCCAGTACACCGGCCCGCCGCCGTACCCGAACCGGCTCTACAACGAGGAGCTCGGCTACATCGCTCCCCCGAACCGCAAGCTGCCGCCCATCCCCGGCTCCAACTACAGCACCCTCGGCTCGCAGGTCAAGCGCATGCCCGGAGGTGAGTGTCCCAGCGGCGCCGCCGCCGCCGCCGCCGCCCGCAGCCTTGCGCTCTTCCTCTGCGCTGCCGTGACGTCTGCCTGAGCAGTGTGCAGGTGTCATTGGCGTCTGCTTCCGCCGTTTTTTATATTTGGCGCCGGCTGGTCCCCGTCGATTTTAGACGTTTCTGACGGGTCGGACTTGGCTTCTGGCAGGGCTGAGCATAACAGCGTAATCAGACTGGTACATGCCTCTCTGAATTAAAGCCGCCTATTACTGTCAGTCCTCATAAGTATGTGACGTTTTGCCATGACCTGCAAAGTTGCACGGCCTTCCCCCAAGGTTGACTGATGCCGATAATTACTGCATGGACCTGATGGCCATTGTATAGAAGGATCTCGGCCAGGTGATTTTTAGACGTTCTAAACCGTTTTGCCACTCCGGCACTTCGCATGCGATTTTTTCGCTTGGTGTGTTCGGTGGCGCGGGTGCTGTCGCTCCCGCGGTGTGAGTGCGAGAGCTTCGGAACGGATGGCCGGCCAGAGCCGGACGTAGTCGGCCGTCTGCTGGCGCGCCCGCCCGCCGGCGAGCACCCGTCCCCAGCCGTGGCGCCGTGCGCTTGTGTCGTGTGGCCGTTTGTTCGCCTCCTGTGTTGGCCCGCCGTCGCCGCGCCTAGTGCGGCCGTAGCTCGAGGCGCGCCGGCGCCGGTCAGCCGCCGCCCCTCCCCTCCGAGTGAGAGAGCACGTGTGTGTGTGTGTGTGACAGGAGCAATGAGCGTCTACGGCCCGAGCAACCCGCGCCACCAGTATGAGGAGCTTAGCCAGCAGCAGTACCAGGCGGCGTACGGCGCGCCGCCGCCGCCGCCCCACGGAGTCCCCACCAGCCCCAGCACGTACTACAGCGGTAAGACTGGCGCCGCCGCGGGCTGGAGAGCGAGGGCGAGCGCGCTGACGGTGGGGGCGTGACGATGACTGGGATGGGCGGGCTGGGCGGTGCGGGCGGCGCCGCCTCGGCCGGCTGGTGACGCTGTCGACCGCCGCCCCTGTGCCGCAGTGGTGGGACCGAACGGCGAGGAGGAGATCGCCCCGTACGCCACCTTCCACCTGCTGGGCTTCCGTGAGGAGATGGACCCGTCCGGGCCGGAACAGCCGCCGGCCGGCTTCCAGACGATGGCCGCCCGTCCGGCGCAGCAGGGCCAGCCGGGCCGGCAGCAGGGCCCGCAGGTCCGCACTCTGGTCAGTACCGCTGCCGGCGCCCGGCTCAACACTCAGCCAGCGGGACGGCTGCTCTCCTCCGTCTGGGCTGGCCCTAGGTCCGTCCGAGGAGCCCTAGGTGTGGTCTGGGTGGGCTCTTTGCATTGTGGGCATTTGGGCCATACGCGTTCGTGTGGCGATATTTTTTTTAAAAAAAATATTTTTACGCCTGGCTTGGCAAGGCCGACCGCAGAATTGTTTGTTGGAAATTGTTAATACCAAGGTAATACTTGCGGCAGTCCGCGAGGTTGCGTCTGTTCACGTGTCCATTTGAGTTGTGTCGTGTCTTGTGTGCAGTGAGTTCACCAGAGCCTGGTCGTCTCCATCCCGTGCCGAGGCCTCACCGAAGGCTGTAACGTGTCGCCGTGCGCTAGAGCGCCGTTGCCTGTTCATCATCGCCGCGGTCGTGTCTGCTCGATGCGGCCCGGGGTCATCATGCACGGTCCGTGGGACGGGCGTGCGCGCACGGCCGGCGCCACCTGACCTAAGCCGTCCGGCCGGCAGCCCCGCAACACGCGCTACAGCCAGCCGGTGAACCCGTTCCCGCCGCCGGCGCACATGCAGCGCAGCTCGCTGGGCGGCGCCGCCTCCATGTTCTCGCCCACCTACGACGACCCGGCGCGCTCCGACGACGAGGCCAACTACAACGGCAGCCAGTACAGCGGCGGCGGCCCGTACGCCGCGCTCGACGACACTTCCAGCCGCACGGGCACCGCCCGGCGCAACGGTGAGCGCGCGCCGGCGACGGCTCCGCGGCATGGCGGCCCCTCGGCCGCGTCTCTAGTGCACGTCGGCCGGGCGGTGCCGTCGGCGGCACCGGCGCGCGGCGCCGCCTGCCTCCGGCACACGGCCGGCCGCAGGCTCTTTATACGTGTTCTCGTGCATATGGTTCATGATCTTCGTATGTTGATTGTGGAATAGAAGGTGAGCTGTCGCCTTAATCCGGAGGTGCGGCCGGGCGTACTGAGAGCGCGCTGCCAAACACGGTTTTCCGCGTTGTCCATAAGAGGCTGTACATGCGCTCTGGCTCTGGGCTGGACGCCTGTCTCCGGATAAAGCCGCCAGTCAGAACTGTTTATGCATGCTGTACGGATATGCGTATATTTCTCTGTACATTCGCACCTAGCTGCCTTGCACAGAGCGTATCTGCATCGGCGTCAGTTACGTCCAATTTACACCGGATGCGTCCGACATGTACGTACGCAGGCGCATGCGCCAGAGGACGCAATACTACGGCATGCGTAAAATGGCCCCTTGGAGCGCGATGCTGGCATAAATTAAATCACTGAGCTCCTATTCCTCATCTTCGAGCTCGGACGCTGCTGTGTCATGTTAGGCATGCAATCGCGTCAGTTGGCGCCACGTGATGCGTACTGGCGTCGGACGCATCCGTGGTGGGTTGGCTCGTAGTCTGTTCGTACCCTGCGGCTGGGCGCGGCGCGGCGCGGCGCGCTGAGCCTGCGGCCGTGCAGTGAAGGCCTGTGTCTGCCCGGTGAAGGGACGGACGGCGGCTGGCCCGACTGCGGCTCTCTGCCGCCTCCGCCGCCGTCCCTGCTGGACCAGGAGGAGCCGCTGCCGCCGCCGCCGCCGCCGCGCGCCTCCCTGGACGACTCCAACACCTCGCAGCAGACCGACACGTCGGCCATGGAGTGTGACCGCGACCACGCCATCCTGGCAGGTACCTGGCCACCGCATGTCGCCGCGAGCCGCCACCCATTCCGCCTGCACGCATCGTCCGCTGATGACTGTCGTATGCTCTGCCGGTGTGTTCGACCCGCTCTCCATGCCCGTCTGTGAGCAGCTAGCTGGGACGGTGCGGGCCCGCGCATCTGTGTCTGATGCGGCGCTCTGTTGAAAGCGCCGGTGTGGAGTGCAGGTGTGCTGTTGTGTGGTGTGCGTTTCGATGTTCTCATCACGGGCCGCCGTCGGTGGTCGGCGCGTGCCCGGCGGCCGCCGGCTGGCGAGGAGCCGGGCCGCGCGGTGCCCTGCCCCCGCCGCCGGCCGGTGCAGGCCGCTGACGAAGCGCCCCGGCTCCGTGTTGCAGACAGCCCGCAGTTTGGAAAGGACGGCAGACCGGCGGACGAGACCCGCAAACTTCTGGACAGGTACGCCGCCTCACACTGCTGTGAAGTCGGGATGGACGTCCGCATTCTCACAAAATAGATAGCTTGTGTCGCTATATCTTATGAATTTGGGATGAAGTGTGTTTCAGTGTACGATAGGAGTAAAGCGAACATTGCGAAGGCCCAGGAGCCTGAGAGAGATACAAACACTCCACCCGCGGCCGCCACGGACGCTACGCCACGAAGCCCGCGTCGCACAGGCTTGTCGCGACGTCCACCGACCATGAATCTCACCTGGAAACAGGGGGTACTCTCATGGGCTGAAAACGCCAGCTTAATGCGTTTTGATGGCATCAAGTTGTCGATACCCAGCTAGCAGTCGAACTGACACGTCAGGCGCTGGATATATGTTGTCACCTAATACGCACATGAGCCCGCATCTTTCCGGCGGTGCTCCTGCTGAAAACAAAATGCTGCAGCGCTGCTGTGGACGTCCTGTGTGACGAGCGGTCTCCTCGACGCTACTCTGCATAACGATCTTATCCGACTAGCTCCATTGCCAGTAAATGGAGGGAACCCCTACAGAACACTACATAATTCGTGTGACTGCGACACACCATTTGGGTCGCAGCGATGATCTCATTTTTCTCGGAGGGACACAAAGAGCACGCCTGCCCCATTCCTGCGCGCGCTACCCCCCGCTGGCGCTGCCCCGTCCGGCGGCTGAACTCTAACGGGTCCGTTTCCGCGCCGCCCCAGCGACAAGGAGCAGTAAGTGTGGCGCGCCAACCCCGCTCTCACGTTAGTACGGTCCACGTGTCTTGCCTGCGGACGGCGCCCACCCCCGCGCCGTCGCCTGTGGCGCTCCTCTAGATGTGGTTGGGGGGGGGGGGGGTGAAGTTGGCTCCCCTCCGGTGTCATTCGGCCCTGTCTGGACGGCCGGCCGATCGGGCCCGAGGCTGGTCCGGCCGCCGGGCTCTCGGGCCTGAGGCTGGTCCGGCCACCGGTTCGCTCTGGTCCGAGGCTGGTCCAGTCGCCGGCCGCTCCGGCCCGAGGCTGGTCCGGCCGCCGGCCGCTCGGCCACCGGCTCCAGGATCGGCGCACCTGCACGCTCGTCGTGTCGAGCTGCTTGCCGGCATGCCAGTCTGTACAGCACTGGCCCAGCACCGGTGTCACGCACACCCACTGGGGGCGACGGATCGGGCCCATTGGGCGCGATGGTCGTGCGCCCCGTGTGGTTTTGCACGCACCAGTGGGCCGGGTTCGTTCCCCTGGAATGCACTATGGTGCCCCCGGCTGCACGTGGAAGGCATGGGTGCGGTGTTTTATCACCTAGATGTGTATGGTGATGCCGGCTCTGTAGTTTCAGACCTTTTGACAGCTCACTTTCAACTGGACAAATGACCCGTTATGTACGTTGTACTTGACGTGATCCGCAAGGCTGCACCTTGCGGATCACGTCGCAGTCACCTCGTAGACTGACCTCTGCACCTTGCTTACCTGTCCCGTCAGGCAGCTCTGTAAGCGCGCGGGATCCGTGTTGTGGGTGGCCTCGCCACTGCGATGCACTGCAGCCAGTCCTGAAGGACCTCTATGACCTCAGATTCTTCTGAATATGAACACGTTCTGTCGATTCGTGTAGCCTTTCTATAGACTTGAGTTGTGATGTGCACATATCGATCTTTGTGTGCTTTCCGTATGAGGTCATCGATTTCGACGTCCGTTTCTCGGTGGTGGCTGTGCATGTTATTTGTTGACATTTTTGTAGCGTCGCACGCGAGCAGGTAGCGCTTTAATGTGCTCATGTTCACTTCACCTTCCTAGTTAAACAGTATGAGGGCGGTCGTCTTTCCCCAGTCAGGGGCACGACACAGTGCGAAGACACGACGCCTGGGGTCTGTCCTTGTGTCACCAAATTGCATTCAGAGCAACTCGGCTGAGATCGTTGGCCGCCTGACGGGGCCGGTGTGTTCCGTTCGTGCGCCGCTGCCGGGATCGGCCGGGCCATCGGGCCGGCCTCGTCGCGCGCCACGCGGCGTCACGGTCAGCCGCGGACGGCGGCCGTCTGGAGGCGGTCGTGTTTCGCCTGCCGCTCGTGATGGGGCGGGGAGTGGACGGCCACCACGCCGGCGTCGGACACCGACTGTCGGCGCCAGACACCGACTGTTGGCGCCGGACACCGACGGTCGGCGCCCGACGCGGACCGTCCATGGCGATGCCTTGCGACGGCCGTGCCGCTCTGCTGGTGGCCGTTTCGTAGTGCCGCTGCACGTGGGCCGCGTGTCGCGGTTGTCTGGCGTTCCCGTGCTCCGGATGTCAGGCGTCCCTGTGTCCCGGTTATCTGGCACCCCGTGTCCCGTTTGTCTTATCTCCGCGTTTGTTGCCTGACGTGACCGCTCTCAGGTCGTCCCGCTCGTCTGACGTCCGTCCGTCCCGTCCCAGGAACGAGGCCCGCCGGCCGCACGTGACCGCGCAGAATGGCCTGGTGCCGTACGACACGGTGAACGTGTGAGCGGCGCGACCCGGCCGCGGCCGTCTCAGCTCGCCCAGCGCTCGGCCCGCGCCCTCCCGCCGGGCCGACGCAGCCCCGTGCCATGGCGCGGCCCGCCGGCCGCCGGCCGCGCCCTGCCCCGCTCTGCCCCGCCCCGCCCCACCCCGCTTCTGTGGCGTGCGCCGCCCGCTTGGGCCCGCTCATTGGTAGGTAGTGCCGCCGCCGCCGCCGCCGCCGTCGCCGCCGTTGCTCGGTGTTTGCCTAGATGTTCCGCTTCTCGACGTGTGTGTCTAAGTCAGTGTAGCGTGATAGGAAGCCGCGCCGCCGCCGTCGCGCGCGCGCCAGGACAGGAGCGCGCCTCGGGCGCTGCGCGTAGTCGGTTTTGTACATGTACTCGGCGTGTCAGGGGCGAAAGGCGTGCCGGTCGGAGGCCGCCCGCCGGCCGCGGTCCCGGCGCTCGCTGGCCGCAGGACCAGTGCTCGCTTTCTTTTTATGAACGAACCCCGTTGTGATACTTTGGTTTAGTTGTGAGGCGCGCAGACCGAGCGGCATTGCTGCAGCGGGATGGGAGTGAGCGGCGGGCATCCTGATGTGGATGGATCGGGGCTACCTAGTCGTTTACGGAGCGTGTGCTGTCAGCGAATGGATGGGGGTTAAGGTCCCGCTCAGGGGAGTAGGTGGGGAGGCAGGTATTGTACGCGGAGGTGACGTTCCGTTCTCCATCAGGCGCCGTGGTGTGGTGCGACCCCTTGGGGCTCGCTGGCTCCGTACTGAGTCTCAAGTCGATTACGTACTTAAATTCGAGAAAACCTTCCAATTTCTTCCATGTTACTGCTCAAAAGGACGTTTTCGAGTGATTAATGGGGACCGCAGAGGATGGCTTTGATTGGTGCTTTTCTGTTGTAGTATTGGCATGGCGCCGCCGGCTTCTGCGGAGTACTCGTGACCGTGTGTTGTGGCCTGCGCCGCGGTTTTTGCTGACTAATGCTGCCGGGGCGGTTGATGTTGCCGCTGTGTACAGTGTTTGACTGCAACGATCCATCGATAATCCTATGTATTTACACTAACGAGTTTAACTACTTTATGTTTCCGTTGTAGTCGCCATGTGCCAATTTTATTTGCCGCGCTATGATTGGCGACCAGCACACTCCGTGCTCTCTGGATCTAACATGCGGCCCGCAATGGGCCGCCCGGCTTCTGCTAGGGAAGTGACATTTTAAACCGCTATACTGTTTAGCTGCCCTCGTTCTGACGAACGAGCTTTTGTGCTTCAATAAATATTGTCCTCTGGCATTGTGCGTGTGTGGTGGAGCGGCGTTCGCCTGGCTTCACGTCTCCAGTGAAGGCTCAGGCTCGGCAACGACGCGAGAGAGGGAGCAAAGACAAAGAGACAAGCTCAAGTGCTCAAATGTTGGCCGGCGCTGGCCTGTTAGAATGACACGGCGAAACACTGCGCCGGAGGCGCATACACGGCTGGCAAGTGGTGCGAGCGCAACTGCTCTCAACATCTCACGGCCGCCGGAGAGCGAGCCGGCCGGAGCGGGCGGCGGCCGTGGAGCGCGCGGTCACCGCCCGCCAGACACCCGGCGCTCGCTGATGAATGGGGATGGTTTGGCAGACTGCGCTCCTCCAGACGTCACTGGTTGGCTCTGCCCGGGCCAGTGACGGGCCCGTGAGGAGCGCACACACGTGGTCACGTATACGCCGCGCAGACACACGCACGTCCATATTTGCACCATGTCTTAGGAACAAGCGAATTATGTGTACAATTAAATCACAATGAGCAATGCATGACAAGTTACGAATGATTCCGGGAGTGTTAGTGCTGGGACGCTGGCTGCCCATAACAGTAAGAGGCTCGGGGACGAACAGCGAAGCGGCCGACCGACACACGTCAACCGCTCTCTTGCCCGCGGGTGACTGTCAGCGTTGAGTGGGTGGCGTGTTGTCGGGCTGCGAAGGGGTGGGGAGCTCGCAACTTCTGTAGCGTTTGAGAAATAGTGATGGCTGGTTACGAAGCGTCGTTTAAGTTCATGTGTGGCTACATTTTAAGATGACTGAGCAAAAACAAGCAAGGTAGCTGCGTGCAACGTGAAATTCGACCCACGAACAAAAACGTGACGTTCGCAGTCCTGTGCGAATGTTCAGTTACAAGCATGCAAACTGAGGGGGGGGGGGGGATGTGAGCCAGACCCACGTTTCTGAGTCAGAGGGCGTGATCGCAGCGACGGCTCATGCGGCAGTACCTCATACTTCGCCGAGCCTGCCGGCGCCCACGGGCTATCTTTGTGCACGACAAGGGACAGACGCGACCCGGCCAGAGTGGCCCCGGCCGGCGGCAGCTGTCGCTGACGCGTCGCGAATGTGTGACCGGGCTGTTCGCTGTCCGCCCCCGGGCGGGCCGGACCTGGCCGGCGCTCTGGAGCGGGCGGCCGGCGCCCCGCGCGACGCGCCCGGCGGCCCAGCCGGACGGGAGGGGGCGGCACCCCGCCGGAGGGTGCCGGTGGCACCCCGCTGACTGCTGCCGGCGCGCGCGCGCGGCCGGCGGCGTGCCCGCGGGTCCCCGGTGTTCTCAGCGGCCGAGACCGCCCGCAGTCGGCTACTGTGGCGGCGGCCGGCCCCAGCCGCGCCGGCTAGCCTCTGCTGCGACGGTGGCCAGCCCCAGCCGCACCGGCTAGCCTCCGCTGCGACGGCGGCCAGCCCCAGCTGCGCCGGCTAGCCTCTGCTGCGACGGCGGCCAGCCCCAGCCGTGCCGGCTAGCCCCTGCTGCGGCGGCGGCCAGCCCCAGCCGCGCCGGCTAGCCTCTGAGACGTCTCGCTATTAAATACAACGCACATACGCTTAACATGACTAGTGGCGGGGGTTGTCGACCGAACGAACCAGCGCGACGATTCCACTTGCACCTCGTTACATAAACAGGTTCCCGCGGCTTGGCACGTTCAAAAGTATGCGCAGAGCGCACGCGATCACTGGCGCATTTCAGGGCTGAGTCCCTTACGTCTCATGCGACCCGATTCGGCCGCGTTAGGCTTCGAAGAAACCTAGCGGCCGCAACTTTGACGGCTAGGTAGGTCGCGGCGTCACACTCGCGCTTCTAAACACGTCACTCGCGCCACACGGGTTCTAGCCGAGATTGTGTCGCCGCAGGTCGTATAAGTACTGCAGGAAGGTGATGTACTGGCGCCAGCGGCGGCGCCAGGCGCGGCATGCTGCTGCCGCCGCGCCGTCGCTGCGCTGCCGGGCCCGACCCTTCCCCCGGCCCCGGCTCCGGCCCCGCTCACAGTCCGCCCAGCTGCCGGCGACGCCTGGCGACGAGGGCCGCTGCTGCGAGTTCGCTCGGCCGCCGCCGTCGCCGGCCGACTCGAGTTCCGTCGGCGCTGCCTGGAGCCGTGCCTGTGCCCCTTTACTGGAGTCCGCGTCGGCAGCGGCAGCCCGCCCGGGCCCTCGCACTGGCTCCGAGGCCCGCACACTGTCACTGGCACTGGACGCCGCCCCCGGCGACGGCAGGGCGCGCTCCGCCTTCGCCGCCGCGTCACTGGTGCTCAAAACGGCCGGCAGCAGCGGCGGCGGCTCGGCCGTCTGCGTGCCGTCCGCCTCCGCCTGGCTGGGCGTGGTCAGCTGCGGCGGCGGCTCCGAGAACCGCTTGACACGCAGCGCGCCGCACGCCCGCCGCCGCCAGCCATCGCCCCGCCAGCGCGCTGTCTCGCAGCGCTCGGCGAACGCCGCCAGCCGCTTCCGCTCGAGCCGCAGCGCCTCGCGCAGCGGTTTGGAGCCCTTGAGCGGTAGCAGCTGGAACATGATGTCGCGCGGCACGGGGCGCTGCCGAGCGCGCTGGTGGCGGCGGCGCGCCTTCTGACGCTGTTGGGCCGCCGCGTGCCGCAGCCGGTGGGACGGCGGCACTCGGCGGCGGCCTTCCGCCTCGGCCGGCTCGGTGGCGCGCGCCGGCCGCCGCCGTCTGGCTTGCGTCCGCGTCCGCGTCCGCTGCCGGCGGCGGCCGGACCCCCGCCGCCGGCCGCCGGCGCCGGCCGTGCGCGGCGTCGACGGCCGGCGCCGACGACCGTGTCTCGGCCGCGGCCGGCCGCCCGCCCGACGCCGCCCGTCCCGCCGGTACTTCGTGCGCACGGCGCGCACGCGCACAGCGCCCTCGTCCGAGATGGAGAGGTGCAGCCGACGGTCTGGCCGCTTCGGCTCGTGTAGGTAGATCATGTAGAGTCTCTTCTTGGGCAATATCTTGAATCGACACTTGCTCCCACGAAAGTATTTCTGAAACAGAGAGAATGGTGGCCTGGCCTTCAAACTGCTTTAGTGTTGGATGCACTTAGATGCTCGGAGTGCCACGTGATTTTAATCGGTGGTTTATGAATCATAGATGGATTTTTGTCGACATCATTTGTACACAGCATGGTCAAAACATAACTGGCAATGCAGGTTTAAACAAATATGAGTTGGAAACCCATATGCACGGCGGACAATAACTAAGAGCAGCTTATACCGTTGATCTATAGCCAAGCCTTCCCCGATGTATTGACATGTAGGGATCATTCGCATGATTGCAACTGAAACGGCAAAATTTTGAAAGATGGCCCACTCGGGTGATCTGAAACACTGTGCTCGGACCCTACCGAAGAGAACGCCTGGCGCTTTCTGCTGAGGCACAGGTACATTCCAGAGGCCACGCCGCGAAACGTGTAGTACCTCCGAACGTCCGTTCTTATAGTCTTGGACGTGGTCATGTTTAGGACAGCTGAAAAAGACGAAACGTGTAAATCATTCACCATAGCGATTGTGATTAAACCAGCACCAACTCACACCACTTGGCCACATCATAGGACACGGACACCGCAAATGTATCCCCCTCGCTTGGGTTAGGTGGGGTGGGGAGGGTGGACTCGGATCCGCGTCTGCAGGTGTGGAGGGAAAGAGGGTGGACCCGGCGGCATGTCTGGGTGTCAGAGAGGGGTCTGGCGCTGTGTCTGGATGAGGGAGGGAGGCTGGACCCGGTGTCATGACTGGGTGTCAGAGAGGGATCTGGTGCTGTGTCTGGATGAGGGAGGGAGGCTGGACCCGGTGTCATGACTGGGTGTCAGAGAGGGGT